TTGGATTACAAATCAAATCATTCGTAAAGGACCTCAGCACGAGAATGCTCTTGTGACCCGACCCACCCGAAAAGACTGCCGGACCGTTTACGACAAGCGACGCATTGTCTACGACGAAACCACACGGCTGCCTGTAGACACGCTCCCCTTTGGGTACAGAGACGACTAGATCATTTGGGGTGTCACAATGTTTTTCACGCTGTGTTGGCTGTTGGGGTTTTATCTGGAAGACAGACGTGTTCGGAGAGAGTACCATCATATGTGTTGACTCACATGCATGAAGACTTGGAAGAAACAATGGATCGAAAGTGAATCGACATGCAACATACAGAAAAAAAAACGGATCAAAATCTGACCAATCAGAGACTTGGGTTTTGGACCAATCAGAGGCCGCGCCCGGCCACTAATTGGTCAAAACGAGGTTGTGCTTTCTCTCCCATGCTACAAGCCTGACCCTATGGAAAAGAAACACAACGGGTGTGCCACACTGGGGTGGCGTGTGGGACGGAAACCAACCAATCAGGAAGCAGGGATTCAGTGCCTTAAAACCAACAGACGCTCTCTGGCCATCACTTTTCCAACTGCTGTCCAAGCAACAACATCGTCCCTCTGATTGATGTTCCTCACGTTGTGTTGGCTGTTGGCGTTTTATCTGGAAGAAACGCATGTTAGAGAGTACCATCAAGTGTGGATTCACATCCGTGAAGACTTGGAAAGAAACAACGGACAGAAAAGTGAATCGACAACATCATGTCCAATCTTATGAATGCCAAGACATGGAGCGACATGGGTGGTAAAGGAAGCAGTGGAGAAGGGGACGGTGAAATGACTGCTGAACTGTGGGGTGAAGTGTACGACGTGATGTGCAAAGATAAAGGTCGACGACGTGTACACCAAGTTACGTGCGAAGGCCGACGAAGTGACGTGTGACATGATACGCTCGAAGATGAGGAAACTGACTGAACCCAAGAAAGTAGCACCAAAGAAGAAGATAAAGAAGACCCAGAAGAAAAAAACAAGCAAACCAGCAGGAGCAGCAGCAACCACAACCACAACAGCCACAACCACAATAACAGCAGCTGCAGACACTGAAACAAAAGGGACGTCCTTTTTGAAACCTGGGCCACCCGCGCCCCCACTTGACCAGAAGACCTAAAATGGCAGGTCTTCCAGGACGGAGGTCGTCTTCAAGACTCTCCCTGCCACGCTTAAACTCTGCTGCCCAACTCTTTACGGCGGCATAAGAAGTGGCATCATTCTCTGATGTCGTATTCATATTCTCAGTATTTACAGACCGCCGCCATATAGCTGGAATATTGCTGAGTACGGCGTTAAGCAAACAAACCAATCCAATGCAATACTGGCACCCGTCAAGGCTGTATCCTGACTACCTGATTTTCACCATGTTCATCCTCCAGGTTGCAACATTGGTGGAGGAGGAAGATGAAGGCGTGTCTTCATGATCGTTAACAGTGATCAGCCTACTCCGTGGCCATCTGCCCGCAAGTACACAATCCCGTGTTTTGATGCGAGACGAGTCGGCGAGTAGGTGCATATTTCAACGTCTGCAGAGATACACTTGCTTAACAATAAACAATCACTGCTTTAAATAAACAAAACAGGGTTAATCACATGCTTAGATTACATCAATCTCATTAAATCGGATACATGCTCTCGCTACCGCTGAGGACATCCCAATTTAGGTCACGTCAGAACGACCTTTCGCAAACTTTGACCGACCAATGAAATTACCAACAGGAAGTTACGGAAGCCTTTTAGGGCCATTTGTTTTTTTCGATCGTATCTTGAAATTGCAAGATACTTAGTTGAAATGTCAAGATATTAAGTTAAAATTTCAAGATACAGAAGTTGAAATTTCAAGAAAGTAAGTTGAAATTTCAAGATACTAAGTTGAAATTTCAAGATACTAACTTGAAATTTCAAGATACTCTTTTGAAATTTCAACTTAGTATCTTGAAATTTCAAGATAGTATCGAAAGAAAATAAAAAACAAATGGCCCTAAAAGGCTTCCGTAGGAAGTCGACATTGACCACTAAGAAAGTAGCTTTCTCAAGCATTGCAGCACTAGTTTCAAATTGGCGACTTCCATTCCAGGGTGCCGTTGTACCAAACCACCTTACCGCAACGACTCGTAAGTCTATGTTAAGGAATGGGAGTTACGATCACCTTAGCGCTAAGATCGCTTTGAACAACGGCACCTGGCCTTTAAAAAGTATTTTGAATCAGTCATCCAGTCTGTAACAGTAGTATTGTGTTAAACTTTAGATTATGATTAGAAAACATATTCCGCTAACAATGTAACATAAGAATATGAATATTTCCTTTTTCCTTTTTTTTATTACTGGTTTGAATCTTTATCTTTCGTGTAGTTGTCCGATTTTCGATCACGATCGTTGATACTACCTAATTCCGTTTATCCGACATACTCGTTAATCCGACATAATCATATGCAACCAACATATTAACGGATTAACGGGACTTGACTACTACATGTAGTTTACAAAAAAGGTCTGGATTCGCCTATGAGTCATTATGATCTTTTTTTTACAGTTTTGGTACTATGATCACTCCTATTCTGTGCCAGACCGCCTCCGTGGTCTAGTGGTAGAGCGTCCGCCCGGAGAGCGGAAGGTCCAGGGTTCGATCCCCGGCCGCGTCATACCAAAAGACGTTAAAAGATGGTACTTGTTGTTACACTGTCTGGCGCTCGGCATTAAGGGGCTAAAACAAGGACTGGTCGGCTCGGAGTCAGTATACTGTGTCTGAGTGGGGTATTCATGTTAAACTGGATTGATCATATGCTGTTTCAACACGGGGCGGGCGGGTAGCCTAGTGGTTAAAGCGTTCGCTCGTCATGCCGAAGACCCGGGTTCGAATCCCGACATGGGTACAATGCGTGAAGCCCATTTCTGGTGTCTCCCGCCTTGATATTGCTGGAATATTGCTAAAGGCGGCGTAAAACCAAACTCACTCACTCACACTGTTTCAACACATTGGTTGTATCTTTCGTGGTAACCATCCAACAGAGATTTTATGATTGCTTCTTTCAATTTGAAATCACTCCCTCAACGATTTCTTTAAATGATTATTCTCAGTTTATATCTTTACTGTGTGGAAACCTATTTAACCTGTTGCCTTCTCCCTTATCAACGGAAAATAATAACGATGTGTGGGTGTAATAACTTCAGACTTGCAGCTGAATGTGGCCGCCATACTAAGACTCCATTTAAATAAAGCCACAAAACCCTTTCCACATCCAATAGAAATCTCTACATAAAGCAGTCGATTGTACGATTCCGACTTTATCATGAGCATGTGTTTATGAATCACTATCAAATGGTAACGATACCAGGTGTTCATGAAAAAGGGAGCGTATCCTGCCCAAACGATGCCACCCGCCACAAACACATGCAAAGGCAAGTCAATTGTTCGAAGAACGCCTCTGTTTATTCTGCAATGCTAACGGCCTTCATTATGTGGAAGATGACCTACGTGTATTATTGATATGTGACATCTAATCCACGCCGAGAAGCGAATATGTTTCCAATCATCTCATCAACAACTGAAACCTTTTTAAGACTTATGTGAGCCGACAATATCCATTATATTAAATGTCTCGATAAATTCCTTCGTCAAGTACAGAAGATTAAACGCCAAACATCTATAGCTGTGACATAAAGTGTATTGGTCCAGACACTTATTCCTACGAGACCACCTACGTGGTGCATGGAGCGTCTTCCGAGAGCGGAGGGTCGGTAGTTCGATGCCCAGTCGCGTCATACATACAATACGTTCACACACACACACACACACACACACACACACACACACATACACACACACACACTAACACACACACACACTAACACACACACACACTAACACACACACTAACACACACACACACACTAACACACACACACACATACTAACACACACACACACACACATACTAACACACACACATACTAACACACACACACACATACTAACACACACACACACACTAACACACATACTAACACACTAACACACACACACACACACATACTAACACACACACATACTAACACACTAACACACACACACACACACACACACATACTAACACACACACACACATACTAACACACTAACACACACACACACACACATACTAACACACACACACACACACATACTAACACACTAACACACACACACACAGGTCGCTATATACAGTAAACTACGGTTATAACGAACTCAAAGGGACCACTAATTTTAGTTCGTTATAACCGTAGTTCGTTATAAGCATATATACAGCATAACGAAAGTAAATAGTCGGGACAAAAAAGTAGGTTCGTTATATCCGTCAGTTCGTTATACGCGTGTTCGTTATAACCGTAGTTTACTGTACGTGTAATAATCTTTGTGTACATCAATTGCTTGATAACGGTGTTCGAACCTACACCGAAACGTCGCTCCTTACTGTAATAAAGAAGTTGTTCTTTCATATACTAGTATCTTATCCTTACTACGTTTAAGGATAGGCTGATGGAGAAGATATGGCGAGTGGAATGATGCGATTGTTGTATTGAATATATATTCTGGGGTATTTAATACAAACAATGTCGCATTTGGCCACCTCATTTACAACGACAGTAATGGAACACTTGACGTGAATAGCCAATCAGCATTTAGCAAAAACCCGTAATGCTCAGTGCGCATATTACTGACAATATTCCCTCCTTGGCAGTGCCCCTATATGGGTAATTATTAAATATTGTTTTGTTTTCTGTCAATGTGATCTTGCAACTTTTAGTCAAAATGCAATAGGCATTTCTATATTCCCTCAGTCCAAAATCCGAACACACCAATCTCTCTCCCGCCTCCATTTCACATTTATAAAATATACGGGGGAAATTACATCCCGGTGCCTTCAGTGCGTCGTCAACGTGCGGAGTTGAATAGACGGAGCCCAGCTCAGGAATAACTCTCACCTCGCCTTTTACCGGAAGTGAATAACGTCCCTTTATTCGAAGAATCCACGTGCTTGTGTTTTGACAAATTCGCGAGAAGATCGTCTCGTCTTTACACACAGAAAATGGTTATCCGAAAGAGAAAGGTATGTGTTCACTCTAGCACTGGTTACAAGATGTAACACTCACCAACGCATCTTTCTTACGTCATGAAACAACGCACTGTAGGCCTATAGATTCAGTGACGAATATTGGGACAGCTTTCGAACTTTAATCGTGATAAATGGCCCTTGTTCACGCTTCTAATTGAAACATATACATGTGCTCATTATGTGGATCTTTAAATGTATTATATATGCTGTTTATTTATTGAAACATTCTAATTATGAAAGATGTTATTGACTAACTCGTTACTCAATATTGCATATAGTATTCTTGATGATTACAGTATGAAAGCGGAACAACGCACTGTATTAGACTCAGTGACGAATTCCAAGTATTATTGGGACATCATCGTGATAAATGGCTCTCGATCATGCTTCCAATTGATACATATGCTTATTATTTGGATTTGTAAATGTATAATGTATGCTGTTTATTAATTGAAATATCCTAGATCTAATTCTGAAAGATGTTATTGACTAAAACATGATTATACCTTATACATTAAAACTAGTCGTTACTCAATATTGCATGTAGGATTCTCAATGATTTCAGTATGAAAGCGGAACGGCCACTGCCTACATGTCCAGGAACAAGGCAATCAAGAAATTACAGCTCAGCCTCCCTGACTTCAGGTGAATATAGACTTCAATAGGCCAGTTAGACAGGTGCTTGCCCTGGAATACTGTTACACGACATAGCCTTACACACAGATGACATCGTTACTGTGTCAGCTTGCTGACAGGGTTACCACCCTTTGGTCATAAGGATTAGAAGGCCAGTGGTTCATATCCCATCGCAGGAATATGTTATGTTCGCTACATGTTGATATAGCAGCGCTAACCTCTTTGGTTGTGGATGAACCTGATTAAGCATCCGGTCTTGTATAAAAAAAAAGTCTGTGGATCGAATCCAGACATTGGACTCGATTTTCTTTTTTGTCCACTGCATTATGGTCGTTCGTGTTATATATCCTAGGTTCCTACTGTTAGATATGCTCCTCAAACTATGGCAGTTCTATTTCACTGCTGTAAACCAGTTTATTTGTAGACTTGGTGTAGGGCTGTTTCATGCCTTGAACTTTGTATCCTTGCATGCCCCGTTTTTTTACATTGCTGATATTTTGTGATATGAGTAAATCAGAACTTAAATTGGCGTTATCTCTATTGCCCTGTCTGTAAAGTTCTGCTGTTTTCAAACACCTGATTGGTTTGGTACTTGAGTATTTTTCAACATATTTCTTGGAGGTCAGCATTAAAACAGTGGTAGGGTAGCCTAGTGGTAAAATCATTCACTCATCATGCCGAAGACCCAGGTTCAATTCCCCACATGGGTATAATGTGTGAAGCACATTTCTGGTGTCCCTAGCCATGATATTGCTGGAACACTGCTAGAAGCGTCGTAAAACCATGCTCACTGACTACTGAGCTAACTGCCATTCATTTCCCAATGATTGCCAGCATGTCACATGATTATGTTGTCAATCGAGCGGAGAGATTTTACTTTAGGGGAATTCCTCAATGTCTGAAAATAACGTCACATAGGGATGGCACCATCATATGACAATTCTTTTAGAAGGATTGTGTATACATGTATATGGTGGGTCACGGAATTGAAATGTCCATTCAAAGTTACAACAGAGAATGCTCTACTTACTAAAAGAAATCACTAAGCTCCAAACTATCATGTATTGTGAAATCAAACCACACTGCATCAAGCGATAACCCTGTCATCAGCATCTCATCTAGTCTTAGTCAAACACACGCCCCAAAGTTCAGAGATAGTTCATAGGAATCATTTTCGAGATGACCGTTGTCTGGATTTTATTCCAATTCCAGCTTTACTGAGTGAAACTTCTATTTCAATGAATCAAGCTGTCATTTTATGACTTTGCAAGACCAAGGGATGTTGGTTGGTTTGGTTTGTTGTTTAACGCCGCACTCAGCAATATTCCAGCTATATAACAGCGGTCTGTAAATAATCGAGTCTGGACCAGACAGTCCACTGATTAATATCATGAGCATCAATCCACTCAATTGGGATCGATGACTTGCATCTACCAAGTGAGCGAGCCTGACCACCCAATCCTGTTAGTCGCCTTTTACAAGAAGCATAGTCATCTTTTAAGGCAAGTATGGGTTGCTGAAGATCTTTTCTAAACCGGCGTCTTCACGGGTCATCCAAGGGATGTAACTCCCAATGGAATCTTTGGAATGGATGGCACCACGACAAAAACAACTCTCCTAGAACAACTTAATATAGTTTGATTTAAATAATGAATTTTGGTGTTTCAATGGATTGTTTTTTTTATGATTTATCATTGTTTATGTATCTGTCAATATAGGTATTATAGTTGTATTTGTTGACGTTCATCTTCTGATGAAGACAGGGCCTCACATGAGCAAGTTTACCATGAAGTGCTTCGCATATCATGGAATTTGCTCACATGAGGCACTGTCTGTATCATCTGATGAACGTCAACAAATTCAACTTCAATCCTGAAGTGAAGGAAGGTAACACAGTGATACATAGCAGTGCATACCAGAAATATGTTTTGTCTCAGGTTAGCTGTAGATTATAACTTATATCATTATTACCATTATAAAATCCAAAGAAATACACTTATTTACATTTTTTCTCAATATAGCAACCCGCGTGCACATATATCTTATAGTCAAAGGTTCAGTGGTAGAAAAAAATGAATAAATAAATAAACCTTAGTTAAAACACCCAGAAACCATGGTAACCCTGATGATGACAGATAAATGTTTTTGTCCGTCCAGGCGCTTGTGTATCCTAAAGGGCATCTACCCCCATGAACCCAAACACAAGAAGAAGGCCAATAAGGGAAGCACTGCGCCCAAAACATTCTACTTTGTCAAGGACATCCAGTTCCTGTCACATGAGCCCATCCTGGCCAAGTTCAGGGAGACAAAGGTGAGTGTTGGATCACATGAGTAGAAGGTCACTGTGCCTGGTTCGTCTAATAGTCACCACCTCTGTGGTCTTGTGGTAGAGCACGGGTGGCCCAGCCATCTAACGCGCCACGATTCGCTGTGCAGAGTTGCGTCCCTTGGGCGCGCCAGAAACCTATGATTGTGGGTTCGAATCCCGGTTCGCCCCGATTATGTTTCTAGGTTTGTCAGCACCATACCCGTGCTCGTGGGTTTCACCGCAGTGGTAAACATCTGAGACCTGCATCACTTGGGGCTTTCCTCCCACATTAAGCTGACACGCCACGATATAACTGGAATACTGTGAAAAGTGGCGTTAAACCCACTCACTCACTCACTCTTGTGGTAGAGCATCTGCCTTGAGAGTGAATGTCTGTGGTTCAACCCTGACCCGTGTCATACCAAAAGACATTAAAATATGGTACTTGTTGTTACCCTGCCTGGAGCTCTGTATTAAGGGGATAAAACAAGGACTGGTTGGTACACTGTGTCTGATTGGGTTCTCCATGCTAAACTGTGGTGTCTCAGTGGGGTAGCACCAGCAGCCACACATCTCTGTACTAGTGCAATCATCTCAAACCCGACATTGGGCCTGTTTCACATCGCCTCCCCTCGTGTACACTGACTATGCAGCATTCTGTTTTCAAAACAGATGAGGATTCCTGGGGGAGGTGTCCTCAGCAACCTATACTTGTCATAAGAGGCGACCTAATGGAATATTTCTGAGTGCGGCATAAATCCTTAAACAGACAAGAGGAATCTGTTTCCAAATTTACAGAATAACAGGCAATGGGGAAATGTCTTATAAGACAACTGTAGTTGACACGATCTGTTCAAGTATTTGGCCTCATCTTTCAAGTATTTGGCCTCATCTGTTCAAGTATTTGGCCTCATCTGTTCAAGTATTTGGCCTCATCTGTTCAAGTATTTGGCCTCATCTTTCAAGTATTTGGCCTCATCTGTTCAAGTATTTGGCCTCATCTGTTCAAGTATTTGGCCTCATCTTTCAAGTATTTGGCCTCATCTGTTCAAGTATTTGGCCTCATCTGTTCAAGTATTTGACATGATTATCATGATGATGATCCTTGAGTACTAAACCTGTGCTCGCGGGATTCACCGAGGTGGTAAACATCTGCAGATATTTTGACTTTCCCCCCACATTATTGATTAAGGGAGGTGGGGTAGTCATGTGGTGAAAGCGTTCACTCATCACGCCGAAGTCCTGGGGCCATACCCAACATAGCTGCAATGTGTGAAGACGATTTCTGGTAGATATTGCTTTATTGTTGCAAAAAGCGCTGTAAATTCTTACACCCTCATTCCTCCAGCATAAAGGCATGTTGTGATATATATATGAAATACCAGGTACTGTTCATATTTACTTGGCCCGTGAAAACCTGAGGTAGAATAGATCTTCAGCAATAAATGCTTGCTGTAAAAGGCGACTATGCTTGTCGTTAGAGGCGACTAATGGGATCGGGTGGTCAGACTCGCTGACTTGGTTAATGCATGTCATCAATCCCAATTGGATGGATGAATGCTCATGATGTCAATCACTGGATGTCTGGTCCAGACTCGATTATTTACAGACCGCCGTCATATAGCTGGAATATTGCTCAGTGCAGCGTTAAACAACAAACAAACAAACGACAGACATCATATTCATTCACTCACTCACTCAAAGGGGTCCATGTTCAGACTGTCTACAATCTGTATCAATACAAGTCACAGACTCAACAAAACAAAGCAAGTCTGACCCGTTTTATTTTTTTCCAGCACTTCGTGAAAAGATTAAAAAAAGCTATTGAAAAGAAAAATTCAAATGCAGTTCGTCGTATCCGAGCCAACAGACCAAAATACAAACTGGATCATGTTGTTAAGGAAAGGTATGTATTACCGCAGTGCACTTCAGACAAGTACATCAATCATTTTACTGTAATGATAAAATACATATCTTGGTAGTGAGGTCGCCATGGATACACACCTGTTTGACGAGATGGTGTATGTTGCAGATACCCAACATTTGTGGATGCGCTGCGGGACACGGACGACTGCCTGTCCATGTGCTCTCTCTTCGCCACCTTTCCCAAGTCATCAAAGACACATGTTGAGTTTATACAGCTCTGCCGTAGACTCACAGGTAACCATAGCAACAAGGCAGTACAAGGTGGCAAGGGCCGTTCCACGAAGCAGTGTTGGGGCTATAAATATTGTAACTCCCAATTCTTTACTGTCATTCCCTGTGTGATGAGACACAGGTAACCATAGCAACATGACCAGGGCTCCGTTCCACACATCAGTATTAGATCTATGACCATCTTTACTCCTTACAATAGTCTTAGCGGTAAATTGCTCTGTGGAATTGAAATCTCACTTTGCAATAACAAGCTGACACAAACTGGTTGGCTTTCAGGTTTAGGGGCAGTGGGGTAGCCTAGTGGTTAAAGTGTTCGCTCATCATGATAAAAGGGGACGGGTTCGATTCCCAACATGGGTACAATGTGTGATGTCCATTTCTTGTGTCCCCTGTAGTAATATTTCTGGAATATTGCTAAAAGCTGCGTAAACCATACTCACTCACTAACTTTAAGGTATGATATGACAATTTTTCATGTTTTCATCAGTTTAGTAAGGATCTTGAATGAAAATATCATTGGTGTGACCTGGGGTGGAACTAGACACTCTTTTGCATTATGATATGTCTTGCGATAATAAGGTAGTGTTATGTTACGTAGTCATGGTAATGGCTGACACTTCAGATTTTCAGCAGCCATCATCAATAACCGAACACGTCAGTGTTAAGAACATGACTGAGATGTGTGTTGTTTTTGTTTCAGTGGAGTTCATGCACTTCGTGATTGCGTCCAAGTCCCTCAGGAAGGTTTGTTGTTTGTGGTCTCAGGGGTCATATAATAGCAGAAGTGAATACAGAAATGTATCGCAGTATTGCAAAGTGATGTTTTCTGCTTTGTTTAAAGTAAAATCCTTGTATCGGGTAGATGGAGTATCTGGTGTGTACATTGCCAAACTATTTCATTGTTTCTTAGGGTACATACAGAATAATCTGTCAAACACTGTCAAACACTGTCAAGCATCTCATACCAGTGCACGGACTGCCTCCGTGGTCTAGTGTTAGAGCGTCTGCCCGGAGAGCGGAAGGTCCTGGGTTTGATCCCTGGCCGCGTCATACCAAAAGACGTCAAAAGATGGTCTTGTTACCCTGTCTGGCGCTCAGCATTAAGGGGCTAAAACAAGGACTTGTCGGCTCGGAGTCAGTATACTGTGTCTGAGTGGGGTATTCATGTTAAACTGTGGCATGGTATCTCAGTGAGCTAGCACTATAAATCGGCATCAGCTCGGACTAGTACAAGCAGACACACACACACGCACGTCGCTATATAAGTGCAATAATCTTGGACACGACGTTAAACCCAATTTCATCTGACCTCACCTCATACCAGTGCATTGTCGGTAAATTTTATTTATGATGTCAAAGATGTTTTTATGGTTTAATGTAGCTTCTGTCATCTGTCAAACCTGTGCTTTCCTACAGTTGTTTTAATAAAATAGAAAACTACAGACAACAATATGATACAGACGTTAGGAATAACATCGTTCCATCTCAGAATTGTTCGTATCTTGAGTTAGAGTTGAATATCACATACCAAGGCTTAGAATAAGTGAGTGTAGTCCCAACGGATAACCATGATTCCTCTTAGCTTATAAACAATGCCTTCATGTTTTAAAGATCTCATTTCACCACGTTCGCTACACTGAGTATTGTGTTACCACTGGTTGCCATCAGATTATGTTGTGGTCAGTGTATTCCTAAAGACATGTGATGTTATTCCACAGGTGTTCATCTCCATCAAGGGAATCTACTACCAGGCTGAGTTCCAGGGCCAGACAATCACGTGGGTCACTCCCCACAGAGTGGGGTTCCAGGTAAGGCTGGTACACCCCTGCCACAACGTCCAACATGGCAGACAATCACGTGGGTCACTCCCCACAGAGTGGGCTTCCAGGTAAGGCTGGTACACCCCTGCCACAACGTCCAACATGGCAGACAATCACGTGGGTCACTCCCCACAGAGTGGGCTTCCAGGTAAGGCTGGTACACCCCTGCCACAACGTCCAACATGGCAGACAATCACGTGGGTCACTCCCCACAGAGTGGGCTTCCAGGTAAGGCTGGTACACCCCTGCCACAACGTCCAACATGGCAGACAATCACGTGGGTCACTCCCCACAGAGTGGGCTTCCAGGTAAGGCTGGTACACCCCTGCCACAACGTCCAACATGGCAGACAATCACGTGGGTCACTCCCCACAGAGTGGGCTTCCAGGTAAGGCTGGTACACCCCTGCCACAACGTCCAACATGCCAGACAATCACGTGGGTCACTCCCCACAGAGTGGGCTTCCAGGTAAGGCTGGTACACCCCTGCCACAATGTCCAACATGCCAGACAATCACGTGGGTCACACCCCACAGAGGGGGCTTCCAGGTAAGGCTGGTACACCCCTGCCACAATGTCCAACATGGCAGACAATCACGTGGGTCACACCCCACAGAGGGGGCTTCCAGGTAAGGCTGGTACACCCCTGCCACAACGTCCAACATGGCAGACAATCACGTGGGTCACTCCCCACAGAGTGGGGTTCCAGGTAAGGCTGGTGTACCCTTGCCACAACGTCCAACATGCCAGACAATCACGTGGGTCACACCCCACAGAGTGGGGTTCCAGGTAAGGCTGGTACACCCCTGCCACAACGTCCAACATGGCAGACAATCACGTGGGTCACTCCCCACAGAGGGGGCTTCCAGGTAAGGCTGGTACACCCCTTCCACAGCGTCCAACATGGCAGACAATCACGGGGGTCACACCCCACAGAGGGGGCTTCCAGGTAAGGCTGGTACACCCCTGCCACAATGTCCATCATGGCAGACAATCACGTGGGTCACTCCCCACAGAGTGGGGTTCCAGGTAAGGCTGGTACACCCCTGCCACAACGTCCAACATGGCAGACAATCACGTGGGTCACTCCCCACAGAGTGGGGTTCCAGGTAAGGCTGGTACACCCCTGCCACAACGTCCAACATGGCAGACAAGTCTTTACACGTCTGTAAAAATAAACGACAGCTGATCGGGGAAAACACGGCTGTTAATAATTGTACTCGCAAATAATTCCTCCTTAAGTAGACAATGAACAGAAATACATAAATATTAATGTAATTAGTACTTTATTTCAGTTTACAATGCTAATCTAGTAACATAAATAGTCACAAGTAACAAAAGTCTAGCACAGTTTCCACTAATATACAATTCCACGACTAGTGCTATGACTTGTACATATTAATAGTTGTTTAATGAAAGATAATTTCCAATGCTTTTGGACCAACAATATTGGCTTGACTTCTTGATTTTACCACTGGCTACCTGGAAAGAAATACTTGTAGCCATATGGCTACTTGGTAAAAACTTAAACTTTGAGGCCTGATGTTTTTGCATAATAGAGGTATAAAGGTAAAAACCAGTGTATACACTTTACAGGAAACTTGTGTGTGGTTTATTCAGTGTAAACACCATTTTTTAAGTTTATATCTCCATCACCACAAAAAAATATTGAAGTCAATTCCGAAGTGAAGATTTGCTCTCAATGTATCACGCGGCTGTTTGTATGTCATCGTGACCAGATGGTGTTGAGCATTGCTTTTGCCGTCGACCACTGGTTTGCGAGACCAAGAAAAGATTATTTTCAGGCCACCATGATATAACTGGAGTATTGGTGACTTGGGCGTAAAGTGTTATTCACTCACTTCTAATACATTGTGTTTTATTATTTTTAGGGTCAAGTGCCAGATGTTGACTTCAAAATCATGCAGATATTCGTGGAGTTCTACACGACTTTGTTGGGATTTATCAACTACAAGTTATACAGCTCTCTCAACATTCACTATCCTCCACAGGTTGGTGTGCCTTAGTACTAGTACCTCTCTTACAGATAGGATTGTCATGGCTGGTTTCTGAGTTAACACTGTCAGATATTACCGCTTTACTATGATATATATTGCAATATCACCCATAAGGGCATGGCTATAGGTGAAATATTTGCAGTAATTCTCACTGACCATTAAAACAATTGTTCCTATTTTTTCATTGGTTGAATTAAGTACCTTGCCAAGGCTTGGAACTTACGAAGTAAATTCACTCTGGTGGCTTGTCCTCTGAATACATGTACTACAGAAGTTTAGCAGCATGCTGCAAAGTGGAAAGTTTCTGCTCTACATATGGGTAGACTCCACACATGATATCTTCTCAAGGCAAGGGAGTTAACTGACTGTAAAAGACCAGTTTCCACCGAAACTAGTCTGGAATTTATGGGCTTGAAGATGATCAGAATGTTGATCAAGATGTATATTGTAATAAAACTTGTCTTTGCAAAATGTATGAGATTATGTGAGCACCTTGATTAAAACATTAAAAGATTTGGAAAATATCTGTCAACGCCCCTTTGATGGTACATATCCTTTGCAAATCCCGCGATCGACAGAAATCTGCACTTTGCGTCCATGTTGTTTCAGGTACTGGATGTCGATTTCGTAACACGATTTTGATTTAACTATGCATAGACACCATAATTTTAGCCTAGTACAGCAAAGGTGGAAACTGGACCTTTTTTTCCCCTTGCCTCGGGAACATGCACACATGAATGCGAGGCTCAGGCAGGATGAAGAAGAACGTCACTGGCATCGGCAAGATTTGTAGTCATCATTGTTAGCAACACCTTATGATCAAGCACACTTATAATAAGGGGAGTGCTAAATGATGACAGGTCCCATGCCCCGGATGTAGCCAATCCAGTACTCTGTCTCACTGTGTGTGTGTGTGTTTCAGCTGGCGCTGGACGGGGAGAAGAATGAAGACGACACAAAAGGGAAGTGCCTGGAGTCAGAGCAGCGGGAAGAGGTGAGGCATGCTGGGATATTGCTTACTATAGCGTTAACTCGAGCGTGATGATCTGGTTAGAAATGATCTACAGCACACCATGTTCGTCCCCCGTGATGATCCGGGTTAGAAAAAGTCTTCTGCAACCTATGGTTGTCATTGGATACGACTAGTGTTTTCAGGTGGTCAGTTTCACTGACTTGGTTGATGTATGTCATCGTATCCCAAGTGCGTTAATCAATGCTCATGTCAGTCTCTGGATTGTTTGCTCCAGACTCGATTATTTATAGATCACCTTCAAATAGATGGAATATTGCTGAGTTCATTAATCAACAAACAAACACACAAACTAACACTCATGAAATATTGAATGACAAAAAAAGATGGAATACCTTTCACATCGCTGTTTATTTACACACAAATTAATATCATAAACACCCATGAAGATCCGGGGTAGAATAGGTCAACCCATGCTCATCCTAAGAGGCAACGGGATCGGGTGGTCAGTCTCACTGGCTTGGTTGATGCATGTGATCATATCTCAATTGCATAGATCGATGCTCATTATGTCAGTCTTTTGAATGTCTGGTCCAGGCTTGATTATTTACAGACTGCCGTCTAATGACTGGAATATTGCTTAGTGCGGCGTTAAACCACAAACAAACAAATAATATGATATAGGCAGCACATGAAACACATGCGTCTATTGGTTCTATATTTACTGTCTTAAATCTGGACATACATCGATAAAATATTTTCATTTCTGATTTTTCGCCAGATGAATATCTGACATTTCCCATAATGCACTTTCAGCGTCTGGCTGCGTTCACTCAATCACTGCAGACTATCGGAAGTCCGGACCTGGACGACCACCTGATCGATGACTTCCCCACAGCAGTGGTGAGTACACTATCCAGCCAGGTCACAAAGAGAGGCCACATGTTCCATGTTTAGTTTGGTTTAAAATTAAATGAAGGGTTTGTGGACGGAGTTGCAGTCCTACACTGCAAGTATTGGGTGGTCGAAGGTTCGAATCCCATATTAGCCTGGTTTGGGTCCATGGTTTGTCAGATCTGTGAAGGTCCAGGTCAGAATAGGTCTTCAGCAACCCATTCTTGTCGTAAAAGGCGACTAACTGGATCGGGTGGTCAGACTCGCTGACTTGGTTGATGCATGTCATCGCATCCCAATTGCGTGGATCGATGTTCATGATGTAAATCAGTGGATTGTCTGGTCCAGACTCGATTATTAACAGACCGCCGTCATATAGCTGGAATATTGCTGAGTGCAGCGTAAAACAACAACACACACATGCCCTTGGGTTTCACTGAACTGATTAATGGCACAAATGATCAGAATCTGGATGTTTCAACCATTTCTTATCGAATAAGAGAATTTATGGATGTCAACTTCTTTATTTTGAGGATTATGACATAATGTGTTCCTCATAATAAAGAAGTTGACATCCATCAATTCTCTTCCTTATGTGTATCACTTCTAAATGCCTTTCAAAGACTTGATTTGTTATCTAGACTAGGTATCAAAATTTTCATATATGGGGCTCCGAAAGAATAAGATCAATTTCGGCTTCACGCCACTTTACTTCACTGAAGCCCACCAAACTTTTTCCCTGGACCATGTCAATAGAAAATATGACTCATTCAATCTGTTTGCGTTGGCTTCTGTGTGACTGGCATTAAACAACACTGACTCCCTCATTGTTCCAGTCGGACGACCCGGACATGGTGGAGAAGGCCCAGGTTGAGGCAGAGAACATGAAGAGGCTTCAGAGTCTGTTTAAGGGCTGCAAGTTCTTCCTCAACAGAGAGGTGCCGAGGGAGACGCTCACATTCATTATCAGGTAGGTCCACAGTGATTTATGTATTGGAAGCCCCCGCGGTTTTTTCCGACCCCCAGGGCATGCTCTGTCTACCAAAACCGAGGGAAAGTGTTTTTCCATGCTTATAAACCGAAAAAAGAAACTTAAAACAACATTTATCAACATTTTTATGTTTCAAACATACTTTCCATTAACCTTAGGAAACGCGAGTAAAATATCTGTTGCTGGGGTACGGATCTTGAAAAGGACATTCTAAAAACCAGTGCGGCTTATCAACACCTCTGTAGCCTCGTGGAACACTCACTGGGCTACAGATATGAAGGTTGCGAGTTCGATCCTCGGGAATATAAAGAAAACTTTTGTCGTTTGATTTTACATTTCATTACATGCTACAATCTGAACGGAAGTTACATTAATAAAATACCCAGGACATTATATAAAATCCCTGGGATATTACAGCAAATATGACTTGAATATCCTATAAAATCCCTGGGATTTTATATAAAATCACAGGGATATTATATAAAATCCCAGGGACATTACAACGTCCCTGTTTATGAGATTTAACCCGACTGGAAAGTAAAACCTCACAATAGGTTTTAATGCCTATAGAAAGAAGTCTCTTACTTAATAGCGATCCCAATGAATAGGTTTATAAAATGAGTAAAAGTGAATACACTCTTGATTGTCCAATGTATTAAATCCCATTCTTTTTTCATAAATACCCTGTAACCAACTGCCACCAGCTCGAATATAATGATGCCAATATAGACGTCCAATAAAAAACACAGTTATTTAAAGGAGGCCGGCATATAACCATCTGTGAGTTTATACTTCTTTGATAACAAAAAGTGATAAAATACATATATGCCAAAACAGGCCGAATTGAATTCCTACACAGAGTTATGGGAATTGAAGAGCCACATAAACAAGAGGTCACCTGACTGACAGCTGGGTTAATGCTGAGTGCAGCATTGAATGACAACCAATTCTGGGCGTAATTAGAATCAGGACTCGAAAGGAGCTGAACAAAATTCACAATTTTGGATAGTTTTTTAACAATATTTATTTGAAATATTGGTTGTTATTGTGTTGATATGTTCTTGTTTGTAGGTGTTTTGGAGGCGAGGTGTCGTGGTTCAGTTCAGTCGCTGTTGGTGCTACTTACCAAGAGACTGATGAGACGATCACGCACCAGGTGGTTGACAGACCCAAGATGGACAACCAGTACTTGTCTCGGTAAGACCAGGAGTAAACTGCTGTCTTTATGCTCATACTATGTATGTGCCCATAACTTAAAAAGCAATATTTCTGGAGCCCAGTTGTCTCCCATGCCAGAATTCACTCTGCAGAGTTGCCTCCCTTAGGTGTGCCAGTAACCTATGATCATAGGTTTGAATCCTGGTTTACCCTGATTTGGTTTCTTGGTTTATTAGAAACACACTTCGTTTGTACACCAGACTGGTAAGTGTCCAAGCCTTCATCTCTTCAGACTTTCCCTCCACATCAAGTAGACACGCCGTGATACGTGAAAAACTGTTCAAAGCGGCATATGTCCAAACTGACTGTATATCTGTTTCTGCTATAGTTGTTGCAAATAATTGTTTGGGAGTTAAACTGTGTAATTATACGAATGTGTTCATGTACTCCATACATATACGCGCTACCATGTGTAGTCTAGAAATTGCTGGAATATTGCTAAAAGTGGCATAAAACAATGCTCACTCACTCACTCAGGCTCGGTGACTTGGTTGACGTGGTATCATTGTATCCTGACATCATAGGGCGTTGCTCATAATATCAGCCACGTCCTTGTCTGATCCATACATTTACAGGCCCGTGAAGATCCGGGGTACAATAGGTCTTCAGCAGCCCATGTATGCCGTAAAAGGCGACTAACGGGATCGGGTGGTCAGGCTCGCTGACTTGGTTGATGCATGTCATCGATCCCAATTGTGTCGTTCGATGCTCATGATATCAATCACTGGATTGTCTGGTCCAGACTCGATTATTTACAGACCGCTTTCATATAGCTGGAATATTGGTGAGTGCGGCGTTAAACAACCCAAACATACATTTACATGATGTACAGGTCAACGTGATATTGTCACTGATATAGCAGGGTTGTTGTTAGCTGCTGCATTAAAAACATCAAACAAATTGCATCCAGCCCCAGTGGATGTGTATCAGGTTAATGTTCACACACATCGTATCCTTCCCCAGGTACTACATCAGGTTAATGTTCACACACATCGTATCCTTCCCAAGGTACTACAACAGGTTAATGTTCACACACATCGTATCCTTCCCCAGGTACTACATCAGGTTAATGTTCACACACATCGTATCCTTCCCCAGGTACTACATCAGGTTAATGTTCACACACATCGTATCCTTCCCCAGGTACTACATCAGGTTAATGTTCACACACATCGTATCCTTCCCCAGGTACTACATCAGGTTAATGTTCACACACATCGTATCCTTCCCCAGGTACTACATCAGGTTAATGTTCACACACATCATATCCTTCCCCACGTACTACATCCTACCTCAGTGGATGTGTATCAGGTTAATGTTCAGACACATTGTATCCTTCCCCAGGTACTACATCCAGCCCCAGTGGCTGTTCGACAGTGTGAATGCACGCATGCTGCTCCCCGTTGAGGACTACTTTATTGGCGAAGTGTTACCACCTCATCTCTCGCCATTTGTGGATGAAGACGAAGGGGACTATATTCCACCAGAAAAACAGAAGATCCTTGACAAACAGAAGGGAGTTGATTCAGGTAGGCGGTGTGGATTTCCTATTGTTTTTGTGACAGCTACTTAAGGTAGGCCTGCATGAAAGTGTATATGTTCGCTGTGTTTCCTGCTGACTGATGCACTGCATGCATGGCACACACAAGGTGAGGGTTGCTGGTCACAGTATTGAAGCCATCTTCCTGAGGCAAGGGAGTCCAGATTCCACCCTTGTCGAACTAGGCTGCAATTATGGAGTTATTTTTTGGCTGAACTAACATGCATAGTTCAATCAAATTTTCGTAACGAAATCGACATCCGGTTCGTAAACTGTCGTGCAGATTTCGGTCGATTGCAGTAATTGCAGGATTTGCAAAGCATGTGTACTGCCAACTGGGCTCCAATAGATATTTTCGAAATCTTTTCATGTTTTTAATCAATGTGCTCATGTGATTTGATGCACTTCGCGAAGTAAGACCCGTTTCATCACAACATGGATTTGATTATCGATCAGATCATCTTGACTGGGCGCTGCCATTTTGTTTAAAGCAAATGCAAGTTATATGAGAGATGGAATCTGATTGGTCAATAGGATGGACATAGCATGGACATAAATCATAATAGTCACTGGTGGCGCTACAATCGAGCCCATAAATTCAAGCCTGGTTTGGCAAGGGTGGAGACTGGACTTTCATAGTAAATTTATTATCCCAACATGGCTCTAAGCATGATTTTCAGTATGATTACCTGAGCTTACTAGACGAACAGGGCTGTACTAGACACAGGTTTCCTACAGGGGAATTAAGTCACAGACTTCATGACAACTTTTGGGCGGTTGGGTAGCCTGGTGGTTAAAGCGTTTGCTCAAAGGCCCGGATTTGATTCCCCGCATGGGTACAGATTGTGAAGCCCATTTCTGGTGTCCCCCTGCCGTGATATTGCTGGAATATTGCTAACTGATCATGCCCATTTCAACTTTAAGTATTGGTAATATAATGAAATATCAAGACCAATGTCATGCTATAATACTGATAGTGCCATGGTAATCATTAACTTAAGCTCATTTTGATCAATATGCATTTAGTTGGAAGAGACGTGGACATTTACATTGAAGGAGATCAGTGATAACTATTAGATAATATTCAGACCTAGCCCGTTAACAACAATCCTCTGAATCGAGGAAATTGTGCATGTTTGGCCAGACATCCTGTAAAACGTCTTTCGATGTGTCCAGGTGTTGGGGATGAGTCAGAAGAAGAGGAGGACGAAGACGATGAAGACGAGGAGGAGGAAGAAGGAGAAGAGAGTGATGAAGAGGAAGAAGGCGAGGACAATGAAGACGAAGAAGAAGAAGAAGCAGATGATGATGAAGAGTCTGGGGAGGAAGACGATGGAGAGGAGGAGGAGGAAGGTGAGGTCATTCAAGACTGAACATGGTAAAGTGGGGTGCATATGGCATACCACGTAATATTCAGATCAAATGCCTTAAATCAATCATTAATTTATTGTATGTTTTAATTTAATTCCTATCATGCAATAATTACACTATGGACATGATGGAAGTAACTGTTGCATGGTGTGTTCGTATCCACCTTTAGGCTGACTGGAACAGAGTTGATTACCCGGCTTTAGGCTGATCCGAACAGAGTTGATTACCCGGCTTTAGGCTGATCCGAACAGAGTTGATTACCCGACTTTAGGCTGATCCGAACAGAGTTGATTACCGCCTTTAGGCTGATCCGAACAGAGCTTCAACTACCTAAATCAAAGCCAGTTGATTGCAACTGTTGCGGACATCTTGTCCTCATGTTTCTTGAAATTACAATGTAAATGACTAAATTATCAATTTCTTCAATGTTTTTTTTGTATGTGGAGTAGACATGATAGTCTATTGATAATCATTCTGATTGTCGAGATAATCATCCATATGACGGATGATTCAATCAATTACTTGTATAATCAAGCACTTATATCATGTCGTAAATGACGGTATCACATTTTGTACATGGTTGCCATTAGTTACAAACATTTTGTCTATAATTGTTCAACACAATATCGAGAAATTAAGGTAAATACAAACAGAGGTCTCCTTGTTTCAGAGAGTCGGAGCCAGGCCAAGAAGAGGAAGAAGTCTGAACCGGAGGTGAAGGTTGGTACTGATTGTACTATGACACGTGTGACACTTGTCCGGTTACTAGTTTATCTCAACAATAAACAGATAAAAAGTCCCCTTTGGGATGCTGTGCTAGGACAAGGTTGTAAAATACGGTTGTCTGGAAAGATTTCATTACTTGCTTGTCACTGTGTCTCACTCTGTCAGAAGAGAGAACCCTTGTTCGAATAGGCCCCTAGCACTCAATGAGGTACGAGGCGGCTTGACTGTCACCGATGGTGAGACTGGGTTAATTGTATGTCATCTCAGTCCGATAGTTCTCATTCATTCATTGACTACTTTGCCTGACTGAAACTCCGGTATTTAATGGCAAACCTGACATGGATGAATTGTTGTGGACTTTGGCATAAAACAAGATTCACTCACCTGGAATGTTTTGGTTTTGATTTGTATGTTGTTTAACGCCGCACTCAGCAATATTCCAGCTATATGACGGCGGTCTGTTAATAATCGAGTCTGGACCAGACAATCCAGTGATTGATATCATGAGCATTGATCCATGCAATTGGGACCGATGACATGTATCAACCAAGTCAGCGAGCCTGACCACCCGATCCCGTTAGTCGCCATTTACGGCAAGCATGGGTTGCTGAAGACGTATTCTATCCCAGATCTTCACAGGCCTCACCCATGATGTACCTGGGTCTACTTTCAAGTCCAGGGGACAGGCGGTGATAATGTTGAGGAGTGCACGACATGAACATGGGGTCTCAGGCTGGTACGTGTGGCATGCTGATTACCAAGTATTTACTTAAGCCTATTATGGATGGGGGTTACGATGTTAGAGAGGAGAAAGTCAGCCATTGACGCACTGAACTTTGAGTGTATTTCTTGCCAGAACAGAAATGTCAGTAATCTGTAACATGCAATCTACAGTCTTTATGAATTTAGTTATCCCATCCATTCCAAATTTGTAGACCCGTGAAGATTCCGGGGTAGAATAGGTCTTCAGCAACCCATGCTTGCCGTAAAAGGTGACTATGCTTGTCGTAAAAGGCGACTAACAGGATCGGTAGGTCAGGCTCGCTGACTTGATTGATGCATGTCATCGATCCCAATTGCGTGGATCGATGCTCATGATATTAATCACTGGATTGTCTGGTCCAGACTCGATTATTAACAGACCGCCGTCATATAGCTGGAATATTGCTGAGTGCGGCGTTAAACAACAAACCAACCAAATTTGTAAGCATATAATTTTCCATCTGGTAAAACCCTGACTGACTCACTCACTCGGTTGACTGTGTTTTTTAGAAAGCCAAATCGATGTCGGTGCAGCGGGGCCGTGTAGAGGATGTGGACGTCAACGCGAAGCTGGTGAGACAGGAGGCTGAGGAGCGCCGCCTGGCGGAGATGATGATCCCGAAGAAGAAGAAGCGGCTGTACCAGAAGATCATGTACAAGCGCAAGAAGCAGAAGCAGGAGGTGTGTAGGGACTGGAGTCTGTAGGAGGGGTCCATGTAGTGACAGGAGTCTGTAGGAGTGGTCCATGTAGCGACCAGAGTCTGTAGGAGTGGTCCATGTAGGGACCGGAGTCTGTAGGAGGGGTCCATGTAGGGACCGGAGTCTGTAGGAGGGGTCCATGTAGGGACCGGAGTCTGTAGGATGGGTCCATGTAGAGAATTAGGCCTGTAGGAGGGGTCTATGTAGGGATTAGAGTCTGTAGGAGGGGTCCATGTAGGGATTAGAGTCTGTTGGAGGGGTCCATGTAGGGACGGGAGCCTGTAGGAGGGGTCCATGTAGGGAGAGGAGTCTAGTCAACACTCCACTCATCCACTATTTTTGTTTCAGACTCGTGTGCTCCAGGAGAAGAGGGAGAAGATTGAGAAGGCAGCGAAGCAGGAAAAGAAGAAGAAGAAGAAGACAACATGAAGAAGCTACACACGGATTATACACTTTGTCTGGAAATACAAACATTGGATTGGAAGCAAAATGACCCTCCCGGAGCTGGTAACTGGAATATCTCCCCACTACCTGGTGAATACTAGATTAAGTGTCTCCTATGAAATAACAGAAGATGACAATGTTGCTGATCATGCTGATGCAAGGAGATGTGAACTGTGTATCCTTGCAGCACAGGTGAATCCTGTCAGGCTTGCATACAGGAAGGATGGGATCGAGTGTCTGTTGTTGTCATGCCTTGTACTGGATTACCAACTCAGTACAGGGAGTGGAACTAAAGACCAGTGTGTTTAAACATGTTAAGGTAATTATTTCTGAACTTTCAGTTATTGCATAGTAAATGCAATTGAAATGTCCAAGTCAACAGGACAGTGCTGGTATGTCACTGATAGACTTATGCATGATAACCTTTGTGTATATAACAATGTACAATAATGAATAAAGGTGCGATATTGTGTTTCTGTCTTGGAAACTAGTTCCTGAACTTTGTCTTGAAGGACAAAGTGTCCATTAGGCGTTCATGGTATGCATTGTGTTTCTGTCTTGGAAACTAGTTCCTTAACTTTGTCTACAGAAGGACAAAGTGTCCATTAGGCGTTCAATGGTATGCATTTTGTTTCTGTCTTGGAGGCTAGTTCCTTTACTTTTCCACAGAAAGACAAAGTCTCATTAGGCGTTCATGGTATGCATTGTGTTTCTGTCTTGGAAACTAGTTCCTTTACTTTTCCACAGAAGGACAAAGTGTCCATTAGGCGTTCAATGGTATGCATTGTGTCTGTCTTGGAAACTAGTTCCTTAACTTTGTCTACAGAAGGACAAAGTGTCCATTAGGCGTTCATGGTAGGCATTGTGTTTCTGTCTTGGAAACTAGTTCCTTAACTTTGTCTACAGAAGGACAAAGTGTCCATTAGGCGTTCATGGTATGCATTGTGTTTCTGTCTTGGAAACTAGTTCCTCTGCTTTATAGCTGCCACCATGTAGCTTGAATATTGCTGGGTGGCATTAAACAACAAAGACACTCTATGCTTCTGATGTCACAAACACTTTGCTGAAGAATAATTTAAATTTCCAATATGAAACACCTTTATTACTGGGATGTTGCTCGATACAGGATGTCACTAGCCAATCATGAGGGTGGGGACGGCGTAAGGGAGTGGGGTTGTGCTCTGTTTGGTTGTCGGGTTGAGGTCAGGGGTCAGCATCGGAACCGCCTTCCCGGGTCGACAGTTGCCTAGATTTAAAGAATTGGGCAGAAGTTGATGTTCCCATCTTCACATGTGTTTTACAACATTAGGATATTCTTTTTATAACGCAGTCATGTTGCAAATATCAAAACTTCCTTGAGATACCATCATCAATACATCATGGATTTGAATACACTCCTTCCCCTATTGTCCATGAGTACATATATCCACTCTTCTTAACCAACCAATCAAGCCACGGCCTAGATCCAGGGAGAGGGAAAGCAATGAGGGCTCAGATAACATCGGCAATATCTGCCATAGCCTGAGCGTCTACTCAACACACTGCTTCAAAGTCAAGCCATGGTAGGGTTCGCACAAAGTCCATGCACGGAGTAGGGGTCGTCTGACTTGTGTGAGGTATACACATTACCTGACTGAAATAGATCCACGCCAGCCACACGCATGTCGTCTGAATGTATTCATGGGTGATGGGAGGCGCACGGGTAGCCTAGTAGTTAAAGTGTTTGCTTGTTCACGCCGAGGACCCGGGTTTGCTTTTCAACATAGGTACAATGTGTGAAGCCCATTTCAGGTGTCCCCCACCGTGATATTGCTGGAATATTGCTAAAAGCAGCGTAAAACCATACTCACTCACTCATGGGTGATGGAGGAATGTAGTGTAAAGAAACCCAGGCATTTTCTCGATCGACATGAATAGAAAACTATTTTCCTATCTACAGAAACTATGGTACCTATAACCTTTTGTGTCCATGGCACTGTTCCACAAAGCGAACCGATCTCCATGTCCTACAGCGGGCACGATGACAGGTGTGCGCTACAGGGATGACATTCTGAATATGTATGTATGCACCGTATGCTGGTGCCATCGGTCCGGACTTCATCCTCATGGATGATAACGCACAACCTCAGCGTGCCAGGGTCGTTGATGCCTACTTAGAGCAGGACAACATTGTCTGCATGGAGTGGTCAGCCGGGCTACCATATCTCAACCCTATCGAACACGTGTGGAACGAGCTTCAGATCACCCTCTCACGACGCACTGCCCTTACGGCAGCTCTACAGGAACTCGGCAAAGCGCTTTCAGAAGAGTGAAACATTCTTCCCTTGGCAACTATCCAGACACTTATTGGGAGCATGGGACACACACACATTGTGGGACATTGTGGGACATACACATTGTGTATGTTGTTTACCACCTTATCCCCAATATTCCATCAACATCGGGGGCGGTCGGGTAGCCTAGTGGTTAAAGCGTTCGCTCGTCAAGCCGAAGACCCAGGTTCAAATCCAGACATGGGTACAATGTTTGAAGCCCATTTCTGGTGTCCCCCGCCGTGAAATTGCTGGTATATTGCTAAAAGCGGCGTAAAACCAAACTCACTTACTCACTCACTCACTTACTTCACCAACATCATGGTGGCATGTAATTAAATAAGTTTGGACCAGATAAGCCAATGAGTGAAAACCATCAATCGCCATCGTGGTACGATGAAAGGCAATCAAGCCACAATCTGATTACCCGATCCATTTCAGTCGACAAACATGAGGTGCTTGGGACCTGCTCCAGAAACCACTGGGGCTGTATCCTTCATGAACATGGGAAGCCGTACTAAGAGGAAGCCATCCAGCGACACCCTAAGACACACTAGCACATGACGTTACTCAAAAACGTTTCAGCGGGATCCTTTTTCACAAGTGGTATAACTACCGTTTATCGAACGTGTAGAAAAACAAGCGTGACGCTAAAAGGATGATGACTTAAGCAGCGCTTGTAATGAACGGTCAATGGACACCTTTAATGCAGAGTTTTGGGAATCCCTTTCTGTAAGCACTTGGACATTGTGAAGCCAAAACGGTTGGATGTGATGGTAATGGATTTATTTAGAACAGAAACATGACAATGTCCCCCGGAAAGGTATATGGTGGTTCGTGTCCAAGGAGCGGCAATTCGTCATTTGATAGGACACTTAATCAGTCAGTTCATCAGAAGTATGCTGGCGGGGTGTCAACATCCTTACACATAGTTGACATAGCCAATACCGACTGTCAAAATTAATGCAGGTGCATGCACGGCTAAATATAACCGCTCTCAGTCATCTTTCCCGGATTGTAACCACGTGATCAAAATGATATTTATCGCCCGCAAAATGGATATTTCTTGAAAATTGTCATTACTGTAAATAATATTTCTTATCGCCGGAATTGCTCGTTTACATTGAATAATAACTAGCATACATACAGCTATCTTCGTTAATTATTTATCCAGATAATTCGTGATTCTCTTGCAAGTGGCGAGGACTTTATAGTGCTGGCATATTATTATACCATGCCTCGGTTTAACATGGATACCCCACTCAGACACAGTATACTGACTCTGAGCTGACAAGTGCTTGTTTTATCCCCTAAATGCTGAGCGCCAGGCAAGGTAACAACGAGTATCATGTTTTTACGTCTTTTGGCATGCCACGGTCGGGATCGAACCACCGGTCTCCGGGCGAATGCTCTATCCACTAGACCACGGCGGCTTTATAAGACGAATCGGGCAAAGTGACCTTCAGTTTCCTGGATCCAACATCTTTCGGTATTTCCAGTTTGCAGTACTTCGTAATATTACCACTCCTTAATTTTTATATATATTACTAATAAGCAGTACTGAAGTGATAAGACCCGTGAAAATCCGGAGTAGAATAGGTAATCTACAAAAAATGCTTGTCGAAAGAGACGACTAACGGGATCGGGTGGTCAGACTCGCTGACTTGGTTGATGCATGTCATCGTATCCCAACTGCGTGGATCGATGCTCATGATGTCAACCACTGGATTGTCTGGTCCCGATTCGATTATTTACAGACCGCTGTCATATAGCTGGAATATTGCTGAGTGCGGCGTTAAACAACAAACAAACAAACAGAGGTGATTATCAGATATTACCAGTACTTCCTCCTTTGGAATTGAAGAACCCATTCCAGACACAGTGGAGGTCGTCCCCGCAGGGACACCGGAAGTTGTACTTCCCGTCGGGTCTGATCCCGGGCGCCATGAAACAGTCTGAAGAGTGCAGGAACACAGCAGCGTAAACATAGGCTCCGTAGCTCACCTGCTGAACTATCAGCCTAAACCGTCAGTCGACAGGCTGTCTAAAGGTATGAAAAGGGCCCGTTTTGGACCAAGTGTTGTGCACAATTGACAAAAATGAAAACATTAAGAAATCATTAAGAAAACTAAAGGGCGTGTTTGTATGAAATAGTGTTTGTTCATTTTAGCACTGTCACGTTTCAGTCATGTGAAAATGACCGATGGACCAAACTGTGCCGGCGCCCATATTAAACCTTGTCTTTTCAACATGAAAAGACTATTCCTGTATATAGACGCGTGCCGCGTCGATGCGCACTTGTGGTCATAAGCACTGATGTCGTGGTTGCAGCAAGACTCTGGTACTAAGCTACATAGATATATACATGTAATTTTGAAAGTTAGCTATTATGTCAGATATTGCTGTCATTACCGTCCTAGACACACGACCATCCTGGACACACAATCATCCTAGACACACAACCATCCTAGACACACGACCATCCTAGACACACAACCATTCTAGGCTCACGGCCATCCTAGACACACGACCATCCTAGACACACATTCATCCTAGACTCACGACCATCCTAGACACACAACCATCCTAGACACACGACCATCCTAGACACACAACCATTCTAGGCTCACGGCCATCCTAGACACACGACCATCCTAGACACACAATCATCCTAGACTCACGACCATCCTAGACACACAACCATCCTAGACACGCGACCATCCTAGACACACAATCATCCTAGACTCACGACCATCCTAGACACACAATCATCCTAGACTCACGACCATCCTAGACACACAATCATCCTAGACACACAACCATCCTAGACATACAACAATCCTAGACACACGACCATCCTAGACACACAATCATCCTAGACTCACGACCATCCTAGACACACAATCACCCTAGACTCACGACCATTCTAGACACACGACCATCCTAGACACACAATCATCCTAGACTCACGACCATCCTAGACTCACGACCATCCTAGACACACAATCATCCTAGACTCACGACCATCCTAGACACACGACCATCCTAGACACACAATCATCCTAGACTCACGACCATCCTAGACACACAATCATCCTAGACTCACGACCATCCTAGACACACAATCATCCTAGACTCACGACCATCCTGGACACACAATCATCCTAGACTCACGACCATCCTAGATACACGGCCATCCTAGACAAACATTGATCGTAGACACACAACCATCCTAGACACACAACCATCCTAGACACACAATCATCCTAGACTCACGACTATCCTAGACACACAATCATCCTAGACTCACGACAATCCTGGACACACAATCATCCTAGACTCACGACCATCCTAGATACACGGCCATCCCAGACAAACATTGATCGTAGACACACAACCATCCTAGACACACGACCAACCTAGACACACGGCCATCCTAGACACACAACCATCCTAGACACACAACCATGCAAGACACACGGCCATCCTAGACACACAACCATCCTAGACACACAACCATGCAAGACACACAACCATCCTAGACACACGACCAACCTAGACACACGGCCATCCTAGACACACAACCATCCTAGACACACAACCATGCAAGACACACGACCATCCTAGACACACAATCATTCTAGACACACGGCCATCCTAGACACACAATCATCCTAGACACACGGCCATCCTAGACACACAATCATCCTAGACACACGGCCATCCTAGACACACAATCATCCTAGACACACAATCATCCAAGACACACAACCATCCTAGACTCACGACCATCCTAGACACACAATCATCCTAGACTCACGACCATCCTAGACACACAATCATCCTAGACACACAACCATCCTAGACATACAACAATCCTAGACACACGACCATCCTAGACACACAATCATCCTAGACTCACGACAATCCTAGACACACAATCACCCTAGACTCACGACCATTCTAGACACAGGACCATCCTAGACACACAATCATCCTAGACTCACGACCATCCTAGACTCACGACCATCCTAGACACACAATCATCCTAGACTCACGACCATCCTAGACACACGACCATCCTAGACACACAATCATCCTAGACACACAACCATCCTAGACACACAATCATCCTAGACTCACGACCATCCTAGACACACAATCATCCTAGACTCACGACAATCCTGGACACACAATCATCCTAGACTCACGACCATCCTAGATACACGGCCATCCCAGACAAACATTGATCGTAGACACACAACCATCCTAGACACACGACCAACCTAGACACACGGCCATCCTAGACACACAACCATCCTAGACACACAACCATGCAAGACACACGGCCATCCTAGACACACAACCATCCTAGACACACAACCATGCAAGACACACAACCATCCTAGACACACGACCAACCTAGACACACGGCCATCCTAGACACACAACCATCCTAGACACACAACCATGCAAGACACACGACCATCCTAGACACACAATCATCCTAGACACACGGCCATCCTAGACACACAATCATCCTAGACACACGGCCATCCTAGACACACAATCATCCTAGACACACGGCCATCCTAGACACACAATCATCCTAGACTCACGACCATCCTGGACACACAATCATCCTAGACTCACGACCATCCTAGATACACGGCCATCCTAGACAAACATTGATCGTAGACACACAACCATCCTAGACACACAACCATCCTAGACACACGACAAACCTAGACACACGGCCATCCTAGACACACAATCATCCTAGACACACAATCATCCAAGACACACAACCATCCTAGACACACGACCATCCTAGACACACAATCATCCCAGACACACGGCCATCCTAGACACACAACCATCCTAGACACACAACCATCCTAGACACACAATCATCCTAGATACTGGGTACATATTGACGCGGAATCACCACAGGGCGCACACAAGCTGCAATACGTACTGGATCCGTTGACGCCAATCTGCTGGCATACCCCTCGGGACACGGCTCTGATGTCCACCCCAGCTGATCGCCTTGTGCCGATGACCACACAACACTGGCCTGCCGGACACTTGCCATATACGTCACACTGGCTCTGGCTATTCGCCCCGACCTGACGAAGAACACGATGAGTCAGTGATGGATGAGCTATATGTCGGGGAAAATCATTCATTAGTATCTGGACTACGCTAATCTCGGTCTAAACCGACATCCAGTGTCTGGTGTTTGAAGCTGCGTCTGTACTAATGGTTTGGGAGGCCTGCGTGGCCCAATCGCCCAAGTCATCGCAATTCGTTGTGAACATGTCTTGGGTTCGAATCTCAGATTTGCCCCGATCATAGTCCTGTGTTTGTCAGCTTCTCTCCGTGCTCATTGGTTTCACTAAAGTGGAAAATGTCTAATACTTGCTTCACTTTAGACGGTTCTCCCACATCAAGCTGATAGGCAGACGTAAAAGGAAAACTGTTAAAAAAATGTGCCAGTAAGCCTTAATCCACCCATGTGTCATTAACTCCGAGACCGCCTCTGTGGTCTTGTGGTAGAGCGTCCGCCCGGAGAGCGGAAGGTCCAGGGTTCGATCCCGGGCCGCGTCATACAAAAAGACGTTAAAAGATTGTACTTGTTGTTACCCTCTCTGGCGCTCGGCATTAAGGGGCTAAAACAAGGACTGGTCGGCTCGGAGTCAGTATACTGTGTCTGAGTGGGGTATTCATGTTAAACTGCGGCATGGTATCTCAGTGAGCTAGCACTATAAATCGGCATCAGTCCGGACTAGTACAAGCAGCCACACACACACACATACACGTGCATGCACGTCGCTATATAAGTGCAATAATCTTGGACGCGACGTAAAACCCAATTTCACCTCACCTCACCTCATTAACTCCGGCAGTACTAACGGTTTAATTACACCATTCTTACATAACATAGCGAGACATAAGCATCATGGAACTTTGGGAAGTTTTAAACCAGTTATAATCACCTGTCACTAACTCTGTTGTTGTGGCCGTTCTGTACAACCCTTGTTAATGATATTATTAAACTAAAGAAACATTAAAAATATAATAAATCATTTGGGATTGATGTAACTATTAGTTAATATGGAGATTAACAGTGTGTTTTCAAGGTACAGCTAGGTTACCTGTAAATATAACCGGGCTGAATTATTGTGATTTGAAACCTCAGATTGACCAATCAGAATCGAGTATTTTCCACATTCATGGTAGAATGAAGGCTTGATACAGCGGGATTTTGTTGTTTAAGTTAAACGGAGAGATACTAGCATCAAAGAAATCAATGGTGGTGTGTCTGTACTCGCCACCCCGACTAGACTTGCACAAGTGTCTAAGACAATAATTATTTGTTTAAGTCATAATTTCTAGATTATATGAATAATAAGAACAAATTTTTCCTTATTATAGACTTAGATACTGTCCGTTATCTAGACTTGCCTATTGTAAGGATATAATTACTGTACATCCATGGACTTGTCATTCAGCACAGCCTTGGAGCAAGGCTACAATTTCACAGGTCATGTCGGATACGTCATCTCGGATTCCATATTGGAATTTCGCGTACGTGACTTCCACGTGACACACACCACCCCGCTGCAGACGTGACACCTCATATTAATGTTTTCAGTGTTTCTATAAACTTTAGTTTTCAAATCAAACATCAAACTATTGTCAGTCGAGCAAACACGTGCTTATCATTATCTTTGACTATCATTGTCCTACGAACTTTATTGCGGTGGAATCTGGCGGTAATTGGGTTAGAGTAGACTACGCTTAGTCTCTGAAAATTTGTAATTTTGATAGAAACAAACAACTCCATATAAATTGAAAAGGAGCCCCAGTGAGATAGGAGATTCAGAACCCGTGGAAAATCCCGACATTGTTACTTCAGGACTAAAGCAGTACGTAAGGTTTGGGCGGAAGGGAAAATAGTTGCTCACGTTATCAACCACTAGTTTCTCTAGTTCGGATTCGATTTTTTACGAGACCCCATTATGCAGATGATATATTTAAATGTACAATCACACTTTCAAAATCCTGAAAATGAAAAAATGAAACAATCTTAAGACATTCTTCGTTACATTTTTGTAATGGTATGTAGTTCTTGTTTCATAATTAACTGGTGTTGTTCCTTAAACTTACCGCCAAGGCAAGAACAACAAACATCAACATGGCGATGTTTACCCTTCCCGTGCGTGGCATAATGCATGCACTTATGTCATGTGTGACGTCACTGCTGATAGCAACTGTCTTGAGTGTTGACATTAGAACTGGGTCACGGGGTCGCGACCAAGGAACGGTCTCCTGCGTGTACACTCCTGCTTCGGTTATTCATTCATAATATTCATTTTGGTCGTCAGTAAATTTCGGGAAAAGAAATAAATAATAAATGTGTGCTTATATTAAAGAATTGACGTTAATATTTTTGTCGTTTTATATTGAGATATAAACGTGAAAAAAGGTGTTCATACTGCATAAATCCGCGTCAATTCATATAAATAAATACGTCAACAATAATAACTTCATAGACTGGTTATTTATTCTTTAACACAATAAACTGTCGACATTGTTCAGTGCAATAGTCCAACACAAGCCCCGCCCATTCTATTATCAGCCAATCAGGAAACAGTAGTCCGTTAGTGGACGTGGCCTAATTTTTCTGTGTGCAAAAAAACCCATTGCTTTGTTAACCAATCAAATGCCACAGAATCACTTTCAATTTCTTTATGTAAATTTAGTTATTTATTCTTCAAAAAACTCAAGCCTGTTTGCAGATTGCAGATCGGATTATTCCGCACACACACACGCGCTTATTTTGCCTAGTATAAACACAGAAAAATTTCTTTAATTGCAAAGCAGTATTATTTAAACAGTATTTTTATTATTTTTTAACAGGGCAGGGGTGTTGCCCAATTGATAAAGCGTCACACCGAACACTAAGGTTCTACCAAGTACGCGTACAATGTGCATGTGCAGTCGATTTTGTACCATTGCCGAGTGTTGGATTTAATCGTGAGTGAGTGAGTGAGTTAGGATTTAACGTCACATCGGCAATATTTCAATATCGTCACGAGACCAATTTGTGCATAAATAATAAATACAGCTTGATTATATAAAAGCGTGTCAACAAAGGACAGTAAAACAACTAGATTATCAACGACAGATTTAATCAGGCTTAACATAGCGTTATTGATAATGTTTTGGGGGCACGGGTGGCCCAGTCGTTGAGTTGCGTCCCCTGGACACGCCAGAAACCAATGATTGTGGGTTCGAATCCCGGTTCACCCCGATTATGTTTCTAGGTTTGTCAGCACCATACCTGTGCTCGTGGGTTTCACCGAAGTGGTAAACGTCTAAGACCTGCATCACTTCGGGCTTTCCTCCCACATTAAGCTGACACGCTGTGATATAACTGGAATACTGTTAAAAGCGGCGTTAAACCCAACTCACTCACTCGCACTGATAATGTTTTTAAAATACAATGAAATACAAACAGCCTAATAGACAGATAGTTCTGCAAGCGTTCTGAATGGATACCATTGGTATTTTAGCATTTAAATATGTCTACGTCTAGTGTGACATCGATGTCAACTTCTGACTTTGGATCAGGCTGTAAAGAATTGCGATGCATCCATAGCTCAAATACTCGATACACGTCTAAGAGTTCGCACACGTACTTCGTATCTTGAACACATAGTTGTTTGGTCGCCTATCGGGCACATTAACCTGCCAGTCTACTACAGTCATACGCTCCGGAAATAACTTATCATTGATAGAATGAGCTTTAACCCGGAAGTGATAACCACATTTATTGTTAAATCACAATTTCGGAGCGTACCTAAATTTTATTATCTAGAAATACGAAGTGTCAACAAGGTCGTTAAAAAATGTTAAATCTAAACTTCCAAAATGTGATGCAGAAGCGGATGTTTGCACGGTATAAAACCCATCCTTTCTTGTGAAGATGTAATACAATTTTTATACGAGAGCATGCGTCACTGTCAGTTGCCCGGGGCAACCTCGTTTGATTGACAGGTGTATGAGCTTGACGTAAACACGATGACAGGTTAAGACGAACCTTTAATGGTCACAGGTATCATTAAAAATATGATGACGTCATCGACCTGCATGTGTAAATGAATGGCGAACTTAACACATTTTCGTCGTTTTATTTTATGTTGCAATGAGCATTTTGTTTACTGTCGTCTGCGTTGTGTCGTCTTGCCCGAGGCTCAATTCCCTCGGGGTATAATTAACAGACGCCATGTTGGCATAACAGACCTTACGTTTATAAATATTAATCTAGTTTATGTTTAAATTTATTTTTAGACCAGAATATTCTCATTTATTGTGGATGTAGTGAGGAAATAGCTTTCCTCTCAAAATATAAAACCAATATCCGACTTGAGATAAGGGGAAATAACTAGGAGGGGGGGGGGGGGGGGGGAGCGGATCTACTTTCAGTCTGTTTCAATGACAGTGTGGTTTACAAAGAATACAGTAAATTACGGTTATAACGAACACGCTTATAACGAACTGACGGATATAACGAACTTATTTTTGGTCCCGACCATGTGTTGTATATATGCTCTATGTATGCTTATAACGAACTACGGTTATTACGAACTAAAATTAGTCGTCCCTCGAGTTCGTTATATCCGTCAGTTCGTTATAAGCGTGTTCGTTATAAACGTAGTTTACTGTATGTATTTGATTTCACTTGAGGGTATCGGAAATTCTGTCAGTCTGCCTCTATGACACTCTGGGCTTCACAAATTGAAAAATGTCAATTGTGTCAAGTCAATCGATGAAATGAACATTTTTGTGACAAGGAGAGCCAAAAACATATATAATAGCATGCATACACATATTCATTAGAGGGTGTTACTGTGTGCTTATAAACTACCGGGCAAACACAGTAAACAGCCATGTTGGTTGTTGGTTAACCATGTAACAAACACGAAATGGTTATTCCATAGTTATGTATATGATACTGGGAACAGTTTGCTGTGTTTCGGCAACTGTTTTCAGCCTGATAGCGTTTTGACAACGTTTCTAATTGTTTGGTCAAATTCAATTTTGAGGTATATACTTTCTTTTGCCTGTCAGTTAAGTTTCGGAACATTTGACAGCGTCCCTATCCCAAAATGACATTTTGTCTTTATTCAGTCGTAACAATGTCATACTCCCATGGTCTTAATACAGAACAAGGACATTAATAGTCCGTGCAAGTGATAGTCTTGTTCATAAAGAAAGTTATTAAAATATTCCTAACACCAAACGAATAATGAAACGTTATATTGATTTCGTTTAGGATTAATTTTATGAGAAAACAAAACATTGATTCATAGATATTTTCATTTAGATTTCGACTCATTACAAACGTCATCTAAAATAATTAATTTAAAGCCTTTCAAACTGTAATAAATCAATAATAATAATTATGACTAACACCGTATACTTCCCTGCTGAGCTAATTGACTATAGCCCACTGTAATTAATTCCCGAATGGGAAGGTCGATATAGAAATAACTCCCTGAGAAGTGTTATGTGTGATAACGTGACACATAGCGAGCTCTGAGTGACAGGTGCCCCCGGGGATCCATCAATCATCAGGGGTAGATATATAGATGAAGGGGGTCGGGACTGTCATTCAATCCCAGACTTCACAACATGGAACTTTACGTGGTCCTCTCAATCGTTGCTCTTGCCGCCATTGTAAGTGTTGAACCTTTGTAAACTGATACTGGAGACGATCAAATTTATCTATTTTATTTTTTTCTGCTGATACTCATTTAACGGTGTGGTGTTGGACCATATGCTATTCGTCAATAATGCCGGACACGTTTTGTTGATGCATCATGAATTGAGACATGGTATTTTATTCCTGTATTGTTGTTGGTGCTGTTTAGCTGGCATGTTGTTCGTAGAATGAACCGGCAGGGCGAAGTGCGAGTGACCGATGTTTTCTTGCTACCACATCGTGGTGGAAATACAGCCAATATTTGTAAATGTCGGGGTTACTCGTAAATATTAGTTTGCAAAGATGAGGTGAGGTGAAATGGGGTTTAACGTCGCGTCCAAGATTATTGCACTTATATAGCGACGTGCATGTACGTGTGTGTGTTTGTGTGGCTGCTTGCACTAGTCCGGACTGATGCCGATTTATAGTGCTAGCCCACTGAGATACAATGCCGCAGTTTAACATGAATACCCCACTCAGACACAGTATACTGACTCCGAGCCGACCAGTCCTTGTTTTAGCCCCTTAATGCCGAGCGCCAGACAGTGTAACAACAAGTACCATCTTTTAACGTCTTTTGGTATGACGCGGTCGGGGATCGAACCCCGGACCTTCCGCTCTCCGGGCGGATGCTCTCCCACGGAGGCGGTCTAGTTTGCAAAGACCATTAATGGATGGACTCAACAGCGATTGTTGGATGATGTTGCTCACCGAGTTCGTGACGTACCCGTATATATGTCGCATGTGGACAGGGAGTGATATTTGAAGTGATGTTAGTCTTGAGAGGTTTTGATATTTGAAGTAATGTTAGTCTTGAGAGGTTTTACGGTACATACTCTTTATGTTTTATTAAATATCACTCGATACTACGGTGGCCCATAAGGGACATGGAGTCTGTGTTTCAATATTTTGATATTTCACTTACTTTTATCGTAACCTTTTGCAAATTAACACAATTTGTCATACAAATATGTGATTAATCATGTATAAAAACAACCGAAAACATGGAAAATGTACTTTCATGTCTTTCATGTAGCTATTGAATCGCTGAAATGTGAAGCGAAAATGTCAAAAACTAAAGTATGGCTAAAGTAATGCCGGTGCGACGTAACATTGTAAATCCCTCCCAGACTCACTTTATACCTATGTATGTATGTATGTATGTATGTATGTATGTGTGTGTGTGTGTGTGTGTGTGTGTGTGTGTGTGTGTGTGTGTGTGTGTGTGTGTGTGTGTGTGTGTGTGTGTGTATGTATGTATGTATGTATGTATGTATGTGTGTATGTGTGTATGTATGTATGTAAGCACGCACGCACGCACGCTCGTATGTATGTATGTTATGTCTATATGAATCTCCTCCAACTTCCAGCAGGGCGTGGCCGGCTCCGGTGACTGTCTGACGGACGCCTACTGTACGAGTGGTCAGTGCTGCTTCCGTGGCGGGTGGCGGTCATCCACAGGAGTCTGTCTTTTGCGTGAGTAGACCTTAAAAATGTTCCTT